AAATGATAATATAACACTGAATCAATTAATATTTCAAAAATATCAATTGCAAAACTCAAATCATCTTTCATATTGGCAAATCTCCTACCCACAGAAGGTGCAGCAGAACAACATTGTTACAGGGCATATTATCAACTTCAAACTTGGCTAGGTAACGAACCGACAGCAACAGATTGGGGCTGAAGCAACATCAACGTGGGATTATGCCCAAATTTACAGAGGAGTTTAATTCCGGAAATATTGCTCAAAACTATTTACTGCAGCTGTGAAACTGGATGTAACAGTTTAAAATGTGGCTGCCGAAAAACATGGCTTAAAATGCACAAATTTATGCTCAAATTGTAATGGTTCTGAAAAATGAATCAATGTGGAAGAAAAAACCTACGAGGAAGTTAGCGATTCAGATGAAATTGTGGGATGAAGGACCAATTCAGACTAAAAGTAATATTGGTTACGAAGACGGTGATGGTTTTGAAGATTTCAAAGATACTACTAGAATCGGAAGGTTTGTCGAAATCTACGATGAAGAAATGCCACCGAGGAGACACAAAGTACAGTTCATCAAATTTCTAGAGGCTTTCGACGGCTAGACAGAGAAAGCACTACTGAGAGGCATCGGTTGGCGGGCCGACGGATTTTACGCAATGAAAGTACACTCTGCGCATCAAGTATTTCACTATTTTATTCAGACGTAAATGTCAGATGTAAATTTCGCTAAAACATTTCTTTTATTTCGTTTGTGTTTTTTGCTCATTACAGTTTAATAGAACCTAAGTATGGAGTTTAATAGCAAATTAAGAGGCCGCGTGATTAACAGTCAATCTCGCGAAATAATAGCCAATGTTATAGAGTTTATGAGAAGAGAAGGAAACTTTAATTCGCCTTCATACCATTTAAAAATGTAAATGATCGTGTTGCTGCAGCCACAGGAGTATCTAAAAACACTGTCGTCCGCATTTCTGGAGAGAAAAAAAGAATCGATAACCGTGAGATATCGGAATTTTCATCACCAGAAAAACCATTAAAAAACCAAAACAGTTAATGATATAGATGAAGCTGACAAAGGTATTCTAAAAAGAATTATTCTGTTCATGTTAATCTCGGAAAATATTGTTCCAACATTAAAAAACAATTCTGACTAAATTTAGAGAGCTACAGGGTACAAAGGAAGCTATGAAAGTTTAAGAAAAATAATAAAGTCGCTAGGATTTCGTTGGCGGAAAACAAAAACAAACAGAAAAATATTAATGGAAAGGTTTGATATTCAAAAGCTACGTTTAGACTATCTGATGTCGTTAAAAAGTTATCGAGCAGAGAGCCGTCCAATTGTCTACTTAGATGAAACATACATTCATGCCTCCACACACACCAGAAAGCTTGGAGTGATAATTCAAATGAGGATTAAAGAAACCAATTAATAAGGTGATAGACTAATTATTGTCCCATGCAGGAGGTGAAATGGGCTTTATTCCGAATGCCTGGTTAATTTTCAAATCTGGAACCAAAAGTGGAGACTACCACGATGAATGAATTTTAATAATTTTTCTAAATGGTTGACAAGAAAAGCTGTTTCCGAACCTCCCTCCAAGAAGCGTCATTATTGTTGATAATGCTCCTTACCATAATTGCCAGGTAAATAACGCCACCAACGTCAACTTCTAAAAAAGCTGACATGCAGGATTGGTTAAGGAATCATAATATTGCTTACGAAGAGGATATGCTCAAAACGCAATTATACAGTTTAATGCTATTGCATAAGTCACGATTTAAGAGGTATGCATTTGAAGAAATGATAAATGAACATGGTTTTAGTTGTTTGCGTTTGCCACCGTATCATCCCGATCTTAATCCGATCGAATTAGTGTGGGCATCATTGAAACAATATGTAGCTAGATACAACACTACATTTAAGAGGCAAGACGTACAACTGTTGTGTGAAGACTTTTTTTGATACGTTTTCTAAAGAGGAGTGGCAATCTCGTTGTAATAATGCTAAAATGTGGGAATCTAAATTATATGACAGAGAAGTTACTTTGGATGAGGCAACTGATAGATTTATAATTACTTAAACAGTGACAGTGAGACTGATTTTGAATCTGGATGGAAACTGAAGAAAGTTTTTCGGAAGACCATTAAAATTATATCTGTACCTAAGGATCAAAAAAGTATTATCTATTTTTACAACGAAGAAGCACAGAATTAAAATTTTATTTTTTTATTATTAGATAGCTAATTTTTGTTTCTGAGTTGTGTTCATTTACAGACTCAATTTTTTTCCGTTTCTCCTTTTTGATTTTATATGGGGTTTCAAGTTGTTTTTGACTTATTTCGACGTAAATCACAACACACTTTTTTAATAAAGCAAACAAGTGTTAAGAGGTATATGTACGTGTAAACTACAATTACAAAAAATTGATATGAAACCCATGAAACCACCAACAAAAATGTAAAGCTAGCTTCCGTACTAGAACATGGTGTCATTCGTCGAGATAATTTATCGTTTGTTTAATAGATCAAGAAATGTAAATATTCCCCTGTTATTTTTTATAAAATTATAAGAGAAATAAATTTTTTTTCTAAATAGTATAGTTTATTATTTTGTAGAAAACAAAATTTCGAAAATTTTAGTAATGTTTCAGAAACAACCGTTATTAATAATAGGTACCATTTTCCTTATATAAGGTAGAAATAAAATATAAACTATTTCCACGATTTACAGAGGCCTACAAAAAAATTATAGGTATTTTCCGCTATCCTATAAAATTTATATTTTCTGACTCAATTTCAAAAGGTTGAAGGAATTCCAAAAACACCTTTTATGTCATAATAATTATTTTCAATTCTACATACTATCTTTAGCTGCTTTTAAAACGTTCTAAGAAAGTCCAATCAGACCAATTTAATCCCTAAACTATTCCACACTTTTAAAATTTAATTACCTAAAAAAATTAAAAACTATTTAAAATAACTTGTTTAGCAGACTGTACAATAGCTACTTAGGTCACACGTAGCGCGTTCTCTGTCTGGGGCGTCGAACACCTCTAGAAATTTGATGAACTGTAATGATAAGTGATTATGGTTCAAGATAAGATTTATAAATAGAAGATTAATTGCATTTCAAAATATTATTATGAATAATAATAATCAGTATAAAGTATCTAAATTCAATAGTACGATTTACATTTCTATTCATATATTATAAGATTTTCTATGACATAAAGGTAATTAGTGTCGTATAAAAAATGTATACAACCGAAATTATGGTAAAAAACTTACCGGTAGATGCTGGTTCGTTCTCAAATATTAGGGTTTCACCACCTATGGAGGGAAAATAGAAGGGATAGAGAGGAAGTGGTTATTATTAATACCCGAAATCGGCAAACGAATTATCGATTGAATATTAATTATTGTAAGACCGTAATCTATTCTTTTCACGTTCGAATCAAGTCGCTACTGTTTTTAACATTTAGAAACTGCGCGCAGGCACGTCTTCAAAACTGCAATGGTTCCTAATAGGTAGGCAACACTAATTGACAAAACAATTAGAATTTAATAAATCAACTTTTTTGACTAAACAAAAATTGCAGCAATCACATTTTTTTAATTGAAATCCTATCTTTAATATTTAGAACAACTATTTTCGCATGTTTCTTGCAATTTTTATGATTTATGGATTTGTAATTTTTTTGTTTTGTTTATCAACAAGAAATCTGACGTTTTCAAGTAATTAAAGTGTCAATTTTACTAAATAGCTCAAAGTTGTACATAGTGATTAAA